CAAGAAAGAGAGGAAACACAACCACAACAAGAAAGTGAGGTATTACCTGATGCAAATCCTCGAAGAAATATGGAAGATCGACAGGGACTGTTCTTAGTCAGGCAACTCAAACCAGAGCACAGACAGATCCTCCATGATATTACACTCCAAGGCCAAACAATCCTCACAGAAGATGATCTTGAAGGAAGTCGACCCCTTGAACGTGGTGACATAAGCTTCTTCTCATTATGGTTGATGATGTCAGCATTATCAGATGCTTCTTTTTTCAACATTTATGGAGCAGTATGCACCTATGATGGGTTATGAGATCTCTTACGACAAGTACTATGAGTTCAAACTGGATATTGACAAAGTTCTCAAGGACAATGAACACCTTGGCGCAGAAAATTTCTTTGGAGCAGAGGATCCTCAGATGGTGGACGATGATCCAGACACTCCACTTCCAGATCTTCAAGGACCAGGCGCAGGTGATCCTGAGTACAAGCATACCATTGAAAGTTTGAACATTGAGGACAAACATATCATTTTGGAAACTGATGATGACAAATTGGTTGAGTGTACATTAAAATGGATCAGTATGTGCAATCAGAATGTTCAACGAAAGATCAAGGAAAGTTTTGTCAAACCAGAAGAAGGACAAGAGAAAGAAAAGGATGAAGAAGAGAAGATTGCTGGCGAAGAAAAAGAAGAAGAAAAAGACACACAGGAGCCACATGTCCCAGCTGAAGGCTCTTCAGAGAAAGAGGAATCAGCTCCACCTGAACGCTCCTCAGAAAAGGAGGAATCAGGGGAGAAGAAGACAGACATTCAAGATGATGAGACAGCTCCTGAAGTGAAACCTGCAGTTCGACTTTACTATGGTCAAGATATCACTGGAAACGAAGATGATTCAGTTTTTCGAAGATTGAAGGATTGTTTTTCAGATGGTTACCATGGTGAATGGGCAGGATTTTACAACAAAGGTTATCCAGCGTCTTCGAAGCATCGACATATGTTTTGGCATGTTAAGTACAGGAAGACCATGTCTCCACATCATGATTTTTGGTACCATATTACAGATGACCAGTTGATGGTTGAGTACATTGCCAGACACAAGAATCAGGATCCACAACTAGAATTACAAGAACTTAATCAGCGCATTGAATATGGTTGTAGTGATCCAAGGATGCATCCTCTTCATCAAGACAAAGCAGAAAGATCCTCAAAAGAAGCAGAAAAGAGGATTGATGACGATTTTGGAAATCTCACAAGGGTACTCCAGGATTACGTTGAGGACCACAAGGTCTTGCCTTACTGTATGATCTTGCATAGCTTGGCTTACAGGTATTTAGGTGGAGGCCTATCAGACCCAACGTACAAGGATGCTGAATTTCCATACAGATCCTCTCCACAGATAACAGCAATGTTTTGGAATTTGGGAAACTGGTGCAGAAACAGATTTGAAAAATGCCCGGTTCCAGAAAGATTTCAACAATTCATTCCACACATTGACTACACCATTGATGAGGATCATGAAAAATTTGATGAAAACAAATCACAGTTCAACAATTACTTCATCAATGTCATCAAGAACTTTGGAGGACATCTTTTCATGAATTGCGAGGCTGGTTCCTTGTATCCTCACAGAGAAAGACTCGACGAGGTTGACTTTAAAACTTGCTTCAATGACTATCATGACTTGATGGTGGCAGCTCGCCTTGGAAAGGATGGCTATATCAAGCAAATTGCTGGATATCACACAGATGAAAACGACACACGAGTTCGACAAGTCTCATGGGCAATCTTTGAAGTATCTTGGGGAAAGACAAAGGATCGAGATACAGATGAGATTGTTGACTTGACAAGAGCTAGGATGAGAATGACACGTGTGTGCGTTTATCACGTCGGACAGAAGTATGCATCAGACTCTGCTGGGATTGTTGGTGAGTGCTTAGCTGTTATGGCTTTTGAGTGTGCCAGATATCAAGTTGACTTCATCGCAGGTGATGGAAACAAGGCATGCTATTACAGCACCCCAAAATCTCCAGGTGTCCCTACATATCAACACAGCCTTATCCAATTCTGGATTAACAGAATGGTAGGTGTTGCAACACAAGCCATGCGCAAGAATTTTGATCCACCTTGCCCTCCAATCAGGGTCAAGCATTTCATTTCTTGCAGTTATCGTGACTTGGATTTTCTTGCAACGCACTTGGATGGCATTACAACAGCAACATACACCGACGAGCTCATGAACAAGACAAATGGTAAGGGTGATTGTTGTATGTTAACAGTTGTTGAGTGGGGTCATTCACGTTTGATGTGTGAGGAACACCAAGAAGACTTTGAGGATGAAGATCACATGAACTATGTGGGTGAATTTTACTTCAAGGTAAATGAAACTTGCTTACATGGTGATCACAACATCTTCATGGTTGCTCCAAATGATCGCGATGCTCATAATCCAATTCTTATCCATCTTGATCCTTCTGATATGTCATGGAATGAACGACATCATTACAAACAGGCCTACAAGAAGAAGCAGTATGCTGGTTCAAGAAAGGAAAGACAGAAGGAGAAAAAGAGAAAGGCATATGAAGATCAAGCATCGACGTATCAGGGCAACACAGAGTGGGGTGGATCCTCATCTTCAGCGTCCAGACCATGGAGATCAAGTGAGTGGCGATGAGTGAGTGTACACTTCTTTAATTGAAGATAACACAGCATGAGAAGCCGTGTACAGTTTTTTTCTGTGCGTTCAACTTATTTCACACAGATGGCATATACTCTTTTAGATAGAGATAATGCCACAAGTGTCTGAACTTCAATTTAATGTAAAATAGAGACTCTTGTAAATAGAGATACTATATACATTTATCTCCATGAATCATCCGGCGAGCAGACAACTCCGAATGGAGCGAACTTCAAAAATTTACCAACTTCGATTTCAGTCCATTGTTTGCTTGAATGAGCAACTTTGGAGATCCGCTATTTCCATTTATTTCGTGATTTGGTCAATTGTTTTTCGTATGACCTGAATTTCTGAATCTTGCGAACCCGAACTTTTCAATTCGAACTTTCACCGGTAGAGCAAGGCATTTTGCCTATGGAGAGACCGTGCGCGAAGCACCATTGGTCGCTACTGGAAAAATTAGCGAATCCGCTGTTCTTTTTCGGCATGTCCTTAGGACATTCGCTGCTTTCACGTGTTTTTCAATTCGAAGCCACTGCGTAACTCCGGTTTATTTTTGCTATTTGCCATTGTGTAGAGAAGACAGGAAGATACTCTTATTACCGATTGAGTACGACAAGGCGTAGTGCTCTACTCATTGCTTTTGAATTTGTGCCTGTGTTTTTGTTTCGACCTAATACCTACAGAGGTACATGCATGAGTATTGAGCACAGTATATGCGCCCTTCAAGGCTCAAGAGGTATACTAGAGTAACCCTGTAGACATAGCACTGACCGGCAACAGGCTGAGTAAAAGAGTGCTGTCATTGGAGAAGACGCCTTAGCTGATCTTGAAGTAGACGCTAGGGCCCCTCTTCACCCCCCCCTCCCCCACCACCACCACCACCATCACCAACATCACCACCATCATCATCATCATCATCATCATCGTCATCATCATCGTCATCCTCATCGTCATCATCATCGTCATCGTCCTCTCCATCGTCCTCGTCCTCGTCCTCGTCATCATCATCATCGTCATCATCATCGTCATCATCATCATCATCATCATCATCATCCTCGTCATCATCATCACATCATCATCATCATCATCATCATCATCATCATCATCATCATCATCATCATCATTCATCATTCATCATTCATCATTCATCATTCATCATTCATCATTCATCATTCATCATTCATCATCATCATCATCATCATCATCATCATCATCGTTATTCAATTACATTTTATCATTATTGGCAATTATTGTCATTATCACGAAAGCGAGCGTCAGCTCGCTAGAGTCTTCTTGCTTTAGCACGTATTCCGGGGCTCCCCAAGGACATCACGTGATTTTTCCCGCGAAAGGGCCCCCCCCTGCCCCCTCCCCCATATATATCATTGTTATATATCATATATCAATATATCATTGTTGCATCCTCGTTGGGACGAACAATGCCGCGACACGATGATGACAGTCCCTCCGCAACTCACCTCTTCCCTTCCTTCTTTCTCCTACCCCGCTAGCTTTCGTCATCCACCCCCGGCCTCAAGTTTTCCATCATTCTCGGCTCTTTGTCTGTGAAGGCTTCTTACAAGGAGGAGCCGCTGGATGAGAATCACCTGTCCGAGTGGAAGGCAGATGGTTTGACAGTCGCGTTGAAGGATGGTTTCATGATCTGATCGAGCCTGTTTTGGCAGGGGTTGCTTGACAAAGCGCTGCAAGGAGAAGAGTCCGCGACTGATTTTTCACCGGAGGGTTGGGGTTGAATGTATTCCATTTGACATCATTTGACATATTTCTCCGAACCAGTGTACATCAATAGCACAGGTATAAATAATAGTTAAAATGGTTGTCTCTCTCTCTCTCTATGTAATTCTCTATATCTATCTATCTATCTATATATATATACATATACACGGTTACATGGGTATTTTTATGGGTGATTGATGATTATATTACTGTAATCACATTAATTATATAACTATTATAACTTAATATGGATTATATAAATGTGGTCTAGTGATGGTTAGCATGGTTCATCTTGATGGATTGCTGTGAGGTCGAGCTTGCAGCTGCCACAGCCGAACCGGTTCATCCCGGAGGAGCAAGCTCTGTTGGATTTTTTTGGGAAGATGATGAACATATGGGGATTGAAAGTGATTGAACTAGTTTACAAAAAAAGACTCACCATCCGGGAATCCCATCATTATCCATCCAATCATTCCAATCCTCGAATCCTTTTTGATTTACAATTTGACCAGAAAAGACCTCACCAGACTGCCAGGATTTTTCGTTACGTGCGCCTTCGGGCACCGGGCTGGAGACGAGCAAACTCCCAATGGAGGTATTGGCCCCCGCCCCGGTGACCAACGAGCCCATGCCCGGGACCTCAGAGGGACCTGGCTGTGACCGTGGCGCGCTGCGAGTTTCGATGTGTTGGGCAGGTTGCGCTTGTGGCACAAGATGGACAAAGCCTTCAAGACTCCCAGAGAGTATGTGCTTCGGCGATGATTTCGCGGTGGGATGATGTCTTGATATTTCGCAAGGGTGTACATTCCATTTAGCACATTCTAGCAGCTGGTTAGGTTTGACAGTACCCCAAGTCACAGCATCAAGAACTTTTTCAATTATAACTTCAGCATTATCTCACCATTCTCACCATGCTTAGATCTTCAAGGATAGCTTTTAACATGTTTTTAACCATAAAGATGACTCAGATGACCATCATTTTTTGATATTTTTCATATGACCAATGACCCCCATGGAAATTCCCATGGAGCTTCAGGTGCTGGCCCATGTGCACACCGGGACCTACAATGCAGGCCCCGAGGCGGTGGCCATGATGCGACTCTTCTGTGGGGTTGGCGCCTTGAGAAATCGATCGGTGCAGGTTGCCCTTTGGTAAATTAACATACCATCTGGTTATGACTCACATAGCCATGGAAAGATCCACCATTTTTAATAGGTAAACCATCTATTTCTATGGGTCATTTTCCATGGCTATGTTAAATAACCAGATGGTAGACCCTGAATCCATAGCCTAGTTTTAATGGAAACATATGGAAACTCATCTTCCAACCCCTACTATCTGCCAGGGTCGAACTGTTAATTTACTGGAGGGTACCCTCTGGTTATGACTAACAGTTCGCCATGGTTTTTCGATGGCCCGGTTTCGAAATAGATGATGTTGCTAGAAACCTCCATTTATTTGGGGGATTTCCCATGGCGAACTGTGAATGTCATAACCAGATGGTAATCACGTTATGTGTCTGTGAGGGTATGTGCCAGTGCCAGTGCCCCATGTGATTTGATCCATTTGCTTCGTCCCCCTGGGCCCCAGGTCGTGAGTGATGACCTGAACACCTTTGCCTACGATGCCAATGTTGCAGGGTCGGATGCTCTGGAGAATGATGATGACGAGGATGATGATGTTGGTGATGATGATGATGGTGATATTGTTATTGTTCTTGCCTTTTTTCATTTTCCTTTTCTTTTCTTCTTCTCTTCTTCTTCTTCTGCTGCTGCTTCTTCTTCTTCTTCATGTTCTTCTTCTTCATGTTCTTCTTCCTCGTGTTCTCATTGCCGTTCTGATCTTTCGCTCTTGCTGCTGTCAGGAAGTGGCTTTGACATGGCCCTTGTGTCGGCCAGTCGTTCTGTCTCCAGGTTGGGCTATTCCTTGGAATTTGCGGACAACCTTTCGTTGTCCGTGGGGGGCTTCAATGACAAGCTCCCAGATCTCATGAAGGCTCTGCCCGGACTGACTTCGTGAATGCTGGCAACTGGTTAACATAATAGTTTGAGGAATGTTGAGGAATCGGATAACCTAAGAAGATCCAAGAACATGATAGCAAAACACACAGGAGATCACAGGAGCCCCGGATGGCACACTGGTGGCACCAGGTGGTGGTAGAACGAGTTGCCGACGTTTTAGAAGACTTTGAAGCAGCGGGGAAAAGCATCCAGGACGGACACCGTGACACCGGCTTCTGAAAACATCGACTGAGGCATAACGTGTAGGACCTACAGATGGATTAAGCAGGGAAAGCGTAGCTAAACTATCATGAATCATGCTTAAAGGGTATCATGAATCATACGTATTGATAGATATTGAATGATATTGATAGGTACCTACAAAAGCTAGATGGAGTTTTTATGAGTTTTTAAGCACTTATTACAGAATGAATATATTTTTGCAATTCGAAGTCTTGGCAACGTTTGGCAACCTGGGCTTTGTCAGGATCCGGGATGGACATCCAAAACATGGTTTTTACAAAAGTGGCCAATGAAATCACTAGGGGTGCAGTCCCATGTATAAATGGATATAGACATATAGAAATATATACATATATATATATATATTTAATGATTTTAATGATATTTATACATATAGATTTATATTTCACCATGATTGTAGGGGCCATCTCAACTTACATTTTCACCTCCCCCGAGTATGGACTAAGTCAATTGCCCGCCAGGACGTGACAAGCGAGGAAGAACTCTGTGAAGCCTTGGGCGAGCGCGGCCAGGAGGGGGTGAAACCATGTAGAGAATGGAATCATTTCATAGATTTCATGCTAAATTGAAATATGGCTGAATGAAATCATTTCATATTCCCGGAATTGTATGGATTTAAGTTGATTTAAGTGCACTTTTTTTGAAGACCGGGAAACCTCAATAAGTATTTGGGAGAAAACAGGCGATTTTATGCGATTTTCCCCTAGAATGTTCCCTAAACGGATCCAATGACGTGTGTGTCATCGATCGATTCATAGGGATACTGCGGATTTGTACTCTATCCCCGGTAGCTTGACCATGGCACGCACGCAAACACACACGTATATATATATATATATGTATATATATATGTATGTATGCATAAATAAATAATAGATATATATAACTATTTAGTTAAATAGATAGATGAATAAATGAATAAATCGACAAGTATATGCATATATATATATATATCCATGTAAGATGTATATATCATGATATATTCATGCGTTCATGTCAATTTTTTACATGTATCTATCTATAGTATATCACCAAGATTTTGTCCAGTTTAGATTGTCAGGAGTTGGTGGAAAAGCTGGAGGTCCAGCGTCAAATTCTGCTGCAGGCGCGAGTGATTTGATGGCTGAAACCAGCTGGTTTCAATTGGTTTCTTCGATGTTCTGGGATTTTCTTGGATTTTCTTGTGCAAGTACCCTCTGGTTATGTCAAAATAGCTATTGAACATGGCCATTGAAATAGTGGATTTTCCCATGAAAAATGGTGATTTTCCATAGCTATGTTAGGTAAATTGTCTATCAAAAACCTGAAGAAACTCTTCCGGTGAGTAGCCACAAGACCTGCAGTGACGGTCCAGGACTATAAGAATTTTACCCGTTGGGGATCCCAGCGGATGAGTCGACAGGGGTTGTACCATGTTGATTTGTGAGATGTTTCCATAAATGGGGATACCCAAAATGGACGGTTTATAAGGGAAAATCCAACTAAAATGGGTGATTTAGGGGTACCCCTATTTTTTCTGTGTGCTCTTCTGGCTGGTATCGGTCACACCGTGAAAATCACGATTTTTGCCCGCGAAAAGTCGAAAAGTCGAAAAGTTCACATGCCAGGTGATTTCGGCTCGAAAAGTCGAAAAAATCGAAAAATTCGAAAAGTCGAAAAGTCAAAAAAAATGAAAAATTCGAAAAAATCGAAAAAATCGAAAAGTCGAAAAGTCGAAAAGCCGTACTTTTTGACTTTTTGACTTTTTGCGAACATTTTCCCTGGAAGAGTGATAAACCCCGTGGGGTTTTGGAGGCATTGGAGCACAGGCAGTATCCACGCACATGGTTTTTTATGGTTGTTTGGTTGCTCTTTCCCGGTCGAATGATTGGTTATACTTTCCAGGGGAGCAGGAAACTTGCAATCAGTGTATCAGGATTAGATTTTGTGTTGCTCATGTAGTGGGTTTCTGTATTTTTTTGTGTTGATTTTGTGGGTTTTGAAAGCTGGATACTGAAACCCCACAAAATTGCTGAGCAGGTATTTGGCTCAGGGCCACCAGGGCCACTACTGTCACTAGCTGTCTTGAGTTGCAACCAATTTAGAGGCCAATGCAACTCATCTTGCAACATCTTGCTACCAGTTTAGGGGGCAAATAGCACTCTCCAAGCGTCTCTCCAAGCGTCTCAAGATTTGTTTCCAGCTACTGCGCCGGTTTGAGGAGTGAAACAGTGTTCGGCGCAGCCAAACTGAGGCTTTCTGGTTGTGTCGCACGGATTCCACAGGGATGGGGCAGCATGACCCTGATCAACCAACAGGGTTTTGATGGGTTTTGAACAGTGCTCATTTGTCTGCATGGTGCCGTGGTGAAAATCCTCCATGATCTAATCCATTTGCAAATGATTAGCTCAACATGCTGATCCTCCTTTGGCACACGACGTGCAGCCTGGTAGATGTTCCAGACCTAATGGGCGTAGCATGACGCATGAGTGGAAACTTCAAGAGAACTTACCAGCGTAGCATGACGCATGCATGGAAAGTTCAAGAGATCTTACAGTAGAGTAGCATGACGCATGAATGGAAAGTTCAAGAAAACTTACAGTGGCGTAGCATGACGTATGCATGGAGAGTTCAAGAGAACTTCCAGTAGCGTAGCATGAGGCATGAGTGGAAAGTTCAAGAGAACTTACAGTAGCGTAGCATGACGTATGCATGGAAAGTTCAAGAGAACTTTCAGTAGCGTAGCATGACGTACGCATGGAAAGTTCAAGAGAACTTACAGTAGCGTAGCATGACGCATGAATGGAAAGTTCAAGAGTACTTACAGTAGCGTAGCATGACGCATGAATGGAAAGTGCCAGAAAACTCACCAGCGTAGCATGACGCATGAATGGAAAGTTCAAGAGAACTTACAGTAGCGTAGCATGACGTATGCATGGAAAGTTCAAGAGAACTTTCAGTAGCGTAGCATGACGTACGCATGGAAAGTTCAAGAGAACTTACAGTAGCGTAGCATGACGCATGAATGGAAAGTTCAAGAGTACTTACAGTAGCGTAGCATGACGTACGCATGGAAAGTTCAAGAGAACTTAAAAGTAGCGTAGCATGACGCATGAGTGGAAAATTCAAGAGAAATTACAGTAGCGTAGCATGACGCATGAGTGGAAAGTTCAAGGAAACTTACAGTAGCATAGCATGACATATGCGTGGAAAGTTCAGGAGAACTTTCAGTAGCGTGGCATTAGGCATGAGTGGAAAGTTCAAGAGAACTTACAGTAGCGTAGCATGACGCATGAATGGAAAGTTCAGGAGAACTTACAGTAGCGAAGCATGACGTATGCATGGAAAGTTCAAGAGGAATTTCAGTAGCGTGGCAAAAAAAAGAATAACAAAAGATATAAAAGTCCACTGATCTTGCTTGGACATGACATGTGCAATGCACTTCATATTCAACAAAACTGGACTTTGAAAGTCATGTATGCGTTCTTGGTAAAATAATAACAGTAAATAAGTAAGGAACAGTTGCATAGTTCTGAGTTGTCATGATACTGATAATGTATATATATATATATAGTGACTAGCATTAAAAAATTATAATATAATACAATACAATATCAAATATTTAAAAATATGATTTAAAATAGTATAATAAAATATTTGTAATAAAATAAAATACAATGTAAGAAATAATAAAATAATTTAATATAATATATTAATTATTATATAACATAATTTAATATAATATAATTTAATATGATATAGTAAATAAAATATATTATGATATGGTAATTAATGTAATAAAATATAATATAATATCTTATAATACAATGTAATAAATATATTTTGCTAAAATGTAATAAGATATAATATATTACATAATGTAAAAAAATCAAACAAAAATGTCCTGTATAATATAAATTAATTTAATATAGCATAGTATAAAATGATATGGTAAAATATCATCTGATACGATATAATATAACATCATAGGTAAAATATGTTTATACATAATATATTTTAAATATAATTGAAAATAAAAAATGCAATATAACATGACATCATGGGATGTCAAATATGTAAAAATATATATAATTTCCTTTAATACAATATCAAATATTTAAAAATATGATATACAATAGTATAATATAATCTATTTGAAATAATATAATGCAATATAATGAAAATATAAAATAATATAATATAATATATTAAAATATAGTAAATAATAACAATATGATATAACATATAATATTAAAAATATAATATATCATGATATAATATAAAATTCAAAAATATACTATACTATAACATGATAATAATTAACATATTACATAATAAATTATAAAAGAATAAAATATCATGTAAAATTACAAAAAATATAATATAGCATAGTATAGTATAATATGGTAAAATATCATCTGATACGATATAATATAACATCGTAGGTAAAATATGTTTATACATAATAGATTTAATTGTAATGCATTAAAAACAATGCAATAATTATAACAGAACATCATGGGATGCCAAATAGAATGATATGGTATTGTGATGTGTTGTGTATTAAAGAAAAGAAGTTCATAATATTAATCTAAAAAAATATAAGATCCTATAAAATTAAAAATAATATAATATAGCATAGTATAATATAATATGGTAAAATATCACCTGGTACGATATAATATAACATCATAGGTAAAATATGTTTATACATAATATATTTTAGTTATAATGCGAAATAAAAAATGCAATATAACATAACATCATGGGATGTCATATATTAAAAGAATAAAATATAATACAATATCGTATATTTAATATGTTGTAAAAGAGTATAATATAATATATTCCAATAAAATATACTACAATATGATGAAATAATATATAATATAATATAGTATAGTAAATAAAAATGTATCATGATATAACATGTAATATAATATTATAAAATTTAATAAAATATAATATAATGCTAAAAAAATATTATACTATAATATGATAATATATAGTATACTACACAATATCAAGAGAACTTATAGTAGCCTAGCATGACGCATGAGTGGAAAGTTCAAGAGAACTTACAGTAGCGTAGCATGACGCATGAGTGGAAAGTTCAAGAGAACTTACAGTAGCATAGCATGACATATGCGTGGAAAGTTCAGGAGAACTTACAGTAGCATAGCATGACATACGCGTGGAAAGTTCAGGAGAACTTTCAGTAGCGTGGCATTAGGCATGAGTGGAAAGTTCAAGAGTACTTACAGTAGCCGCAGTAGCGTAGCATGACGCATGAGTGGAAAGTTCAAGAGAACTTACAGTAGCATAGCATGACATATGCGTGGAAAGTTCAAGAGAACAATGCTACAGCAAAATATCGTCTGATACGATATAATAAAACATCATAGGTAAAATATGTTTATACATAATATATTTTAGCTATAATGCAATCAAAAATAATGCAATATAACAGAACATCATGGGATGTCAAATATATTTAAAAAAGTAATAATGATATAATACAATATCATATAATTATTTAAAATTTGATGTAAATTAGCATAATATAATATATTTTAGTTTAATAAAATACAATATGATAAAATAAAATATAATATAATATAATATAACATATAATATAGTAAAGAAAAATAAAAAATAGTAAATAAAAATATATTTTGATATGATATGTAATACAATAAAATAAACTATAATAACCGAAAAGTTAAAAAGTTCACATTCCAGGAGATTTCTGCTCGAAAAGTCGAAAAATTCGAACAATTCGAAAAGTCCAAAAGTCGGAAAAAATCGAAAAGTTCGAAAAAGTCGAAAAGTCGAAAAGTCGAAAAGTTCACATTCCAGGAGATTTTTGCTCGAAAAGTCGAAAAATTCGAAAAAATCGAAAAGTCGAAAAGTTCACATTCCAGGAGATTTCTGCTCGAAAAGTTGAAAAGTTCAAAAAATTCGAAAAATGCGAAAAGTCGAAAAGTTCACATTCCAGGAGATTTCTGCTCGAAAAGTCGAAAAATCGAAAAATTCGAAAAAATCGAAAAGTCGAAAAGTCGAAAACTTTTTGACTTTTTGATTTTTTGCGAAAAAAATTGCAATTCGCGCTGTGCGATTACCGGCGAGAAGAGCGCTTAGCCCTATTTTTTAGGAACCCCCCTTATGTTGATTTATGTTGATTTGTGAGATGTTTGCAAGGAGAAGAACCCTGGTCTGTCAGGGGCCCGGTGCCAATGACAGGGGCTTGCTGTGGCTTACTGTCACTTGTGGCAATTTGGTGTTTGAACCCCAAATTGCGCTGTGGAGAATATTAAGACAATTTAAGACATATAGTTGGCAAATAGCCCACTTGATTGCCTTTGGCTTATTCGGTCGCCAATGGATCACTGGCGACCGGATTCATCTAGCGGAACCGCCACGGCTTTGGGTGATCCCATGGCCATGACAATTTGATGGAGGCTTCCCAGCCATGGCCATGATTCCCAGTGAGGTTGGCAACTACTACTTGAGCCAACTGATGCTTCGCAAGTCCTGGCATCTCGATGAATACATTCAGGCGGCAACTGCGGCAAGTGCCAAGTGCATATCGTTCTTCCAGCCTATGAACAGACGTCGAAACCCAATCTTGTTTAGTAAAGATCACCTCAGTTTGAATTGGGGCCAAAAACGAGTGTTTGATATATTTCTTAGGTATGACTTGATAGGTAGTTATACAATCTGATAGCGTTATAACATGCTATAACAATCCCGAAATAGATATTAAAGTAAAATACTGTTAAAGTAGTGGCGAATGATATATATATATATATGTATATGAACAAATGTATACTGAATGCATAAAATCATTATTCTTCTTCTTATCATTATTATTTATTTTTTTTAAATCATCATCATCATCATAATAATAATAATCATCATCATCATCATCACCAGCATCACCACTATTACTATCATTATTATTCTGTATTTATTGGTATATCTATGTCTGTTAGACAAAAGGGGGTTAACTGTGATCAAGTTTGCTCGGGTCAGGTCCCGGCTTCGCTCCCATGTAGCTTCCGCAGGTGCTGGAAAACATGCCCGATCTCCTGGCCATGTCCGGAGCAGTGCGACAGGTGTGGATGTGACTCCCATGTGGCTGTGAACATGGAGCCCATGTGGTAGTTTTAGTAAGTTTTCCTGTAGTTGTGTAATATATTCTTGATCAAAAGACGTTGAGTTGGAAAACTTCCGAGTTGCCAAAGCACATGGCACATGTGTCCAAGTAGCTTTCAGCTCACCAGGACTAGGAAGTATCACTAGCTGCGGAAGTTCACGCCGGTGGTGGACACTAGCTGCGTGTGTCTCCTGTGGCTCGAGCGGTCGCCACCACAGTCCCACGTTTAGAAGTTGAGGTCGGGAAAGACCGAGAGCTCCTTTTACTTTTTTTTTTGGTCAAAAAAAACTGCTTAATGAAATGGCGGGTGCAATTTTAGCGAAAAGTCGGCTCTGTGTAAGTTTGGTACGAATCTCCTGTGCAGGATTCCTACTGGTGTTTGCAAACTGCATTGGAATTGGTGTCGATGTCTTGGTGTGTCCGTGCCATCCTGGATTGCAGTGGTAAATGTGCTAGAATGTCGCTTCTGTAACTTGGGAAGTGATAATTTCAGGTCTTTAGCTCTTATCAATGAGATTACTGATATGTCTTCAACTTCAGTTCTCGCTCCCTAAAAAGCCCTAAGGCTTTTATCCTATGGGTGGGTCACTAAGGAACGAGTGTGCATGTTGTTGACGCAAGCTTGCCGCAACTTGTAGAGCCCTAGTGATTGCTATCCGGGCAGCAGCACACCAACTTCATGACTGCTACGCCATGGATCGGGAATGCAACTGATGGTTGCTAAACCCAGTGATATCCGCGCACGAGGGAAGAATTAGCTCACAGAATGAGAGGGCTGGCATGGGCTGACAGAAGATGTTTCCCAGAGAGGTAGCTCAGAGAAGAGGTAGTTCGACGAAAATGGCTCAGAGATGCTCAGAGAACTAGCGAGAGAAGGCTTGGCTTGGAGACGGAGTAGCTCGAGGCTCGGAGAAGAAACACCCACAGAAAAGGCAGCCCGAAGAAGAACTAGCTCAGAGAATTTGCTGAGAGAAGAGTTGGCTCAGAGAAGACGTGACTGAGAGCAGAATTGTCTCGGAGAAGAGGTTGCTCAGAGAACACGTAGCCACAAGAAGTGGTGGTTCAAAGAACACACAGCTCATTCATTCTGGGATTCAACCATGTATTCAGTCATGCATTCATTCAGTCAATCACGCAGTCGATCAGTCATTCAGCTATTGGGCCATTCAGTCCGCGCCGGGAACTACCGGTAACATCAACCGACATATCCATACATATCCTAAACCAACTTTGAACTGGAGGGCCCCCTTCTTGTATGGGCGTTTGATCGAAACTATGCCGGCATACTCCCTGAAATGGCGCCACTTTCCATGGGAGGATGATGGTCTGAACCAGACGATTCCGCTTTGGAAAAAGTGGTGGTTTCACCCCAAAAACTTCGAAGCTTCGTTGGGTCATTCGGGGGATGCCCGAAAACCAAGACATGGCGCTGGAAGATGGCTCCCGGTGTTCTCGACCTTTGTCACAGCCCGGCCTAGCTGGTCCTCTTGAGTGCATGCTGCGTATCTCAATCTCAGGTCTTAACATGTCTTAACATGTCTTAAGTCATTCCCAATCCATTCGTTTTCCCAGTATGTTGGAAGTCCGTCTTTCATTTGCCCTCTAAAATTAAGAGTTCGACCCTGAACATAGTCATTTTGTAGTGGAAACTAATCTTCAAACCCCAAGATTAGCCAGGGCCAGGGTATCCAGATGTATCCCGCTGACTCTACCAACCTGGGGTTGTCCAAGACACCTGACTATTTGTTCTTTATTCTGGTTATTGCACAGGTCAATAACCATGCTCTTTTTCCTTTGGAACCTCCATTTGGTGTTCAAGACCATGTTTGGGATGTATCCAGATGTATCCAGGGTCGATGCTAATTTACTGGAGGATGCGGGAGGGTTTCCGCGGCCGAAGGCGCTATCCGCAGTGCAGGTGGACATGTTGGTGTCGGGAGACTCAGGTGGATTGGGAGATGGTGAAACGTGAAACTACCAGCAGAACCCCAAGTTACCCAAGTTGAGAAGTTGGTGAAATCCGATGTTTTTCTCTTGATGAATTACGTTTCTATCTTTTTTAGGCTTACTACACTGGTATCTGAAGGCTGATTTTTTTTTTAATTCTTTGGGGGTTGCTATAACATATGTATATGAAGATCAAGGACGAAATATAACATGAGAATTGAATAACATCACAAACCAACAACAGTTTGGGCATCGGCTGGGAAAACAGACTTTGGAGGGCTGACAAAAAGGACAATAAATGGCCTTCCTGCGAACATTTTGGCCGCCTCCATTAATACGAGCAGCCATGGACTTATTAAACCATCATGGTCCAAGAAATCAGGTGAAGAAAAATGTCAACCAAGTGAGCCATAGAAAATTTGATGGGTCATGATGGGTCAGCAGGCCAAGAATTACTGACAATCAGCCCTTAGACAGGTCTGAAACTGATTGAATCAGCGGCTTTCCTCGAGGTTTTCCCAGGTGCCAAACGAGGAAACTCTCGGTTTTGAACCTACGGTAGGGGGTGCGGCAGTTCCACGAATAAATGGGGATATTTCACCATAGGGGAGGTGAGGGGGCCCACATCTTAACTTATGGGGGTTTCTACTACCATGGTTATAACATGTTAAAAAAGCAATTGGAACCCCAGTTCTAGCCGAAAAACATGTTGTTTCCCCGGTAGTGAAGAATCTCTACAAGACATGCTTGGAACTGGGCTTCTCCATGGCGGTGTAAAGGGCGCCTCGGATCCATCTCGATCCGAGGCATGGCAATGCGACCCAAGACGCAGCCAAGGACTTTGCCGAGATCTTCTGTGGCCCTGCAATGATTCAATGGGCGCAATGGGCCATGGGTGTGATATGGTGTGATGTAGAAAGGCACTGAGATATAGGATGTATATGATGTATTGAGATATGATCTGACAATATCTGACATGTGACATGTATTGTTGACTTCTTCTTGATTTCTTGTTAACTATTGTTAACTATATAGTAATCCATAATAATCCATAATAATCCATAATAATCCTGATGATGATGCTAGTAAAGGGCCCCTAGTGGACAGATCAACGTGCAGTGGAGACTGAGGTACCAACTTGAAGCGCTTGGGTGCTAAGCCTCTTCCGGAGCTTCGAAAGAAGGAGGCACGCCAAAACAGGAAGAAAACCAGGAAACACTGGCGAATTTGGGCACATAAAAGTAGGGGAACGGCAAGAGTAGGAGATGAGGAGCTTGCAAAAGATGGGCGATAGAAACTGGGAAATCAAGAATGTTATATAGATAGAATTAGAGACCCCTCTTCTCTGTTCAACTGCAGAACGGTCAACATGTGCCTGCTACAACAGCCTAGACCAGGCTGATTTGTGGGTTTGAACAGTAACTAAACTGGCGTCGGTGTGACGTCGGTTTTGCATTTTACAGTAGGAACCATGCTAGCCATATATCAAAAAACTTTTATGTTGTTGAAGGGTGCTCAAAAAGTTGCAGCTTGTGTTGAAGTGTCTTGGGGTGGTATGAAAAGTCAAAATGCATTTTAGAATGTTTTTGTGGTGTCATATCCACTGTCTAGAGCTGAGAGAATTGGGTGTATGTGGACAAGAGATGAGCATACCAAAACGACAGGACCTTGCCAGCTTGTAAGAATGGGAAACCAGATTTGATCTGATTTATGGGCTGCTGCAGAACGGCCTTGCGAGACTAGACATGACGCAAACTTGTAGACGAGGTGCCATGTTCTTGAGGAAAGTACGAAACATAGGCTGCGAGTTCCAAATTACGACTTTCCATTACCCATAGGATCCATGTATGGTATATATATATATGGCAACATTTACCATCAATATACCCCAAATGTCAGCATATATACCATACATGGATCCTATGGGTTACAAACTGGATTTCACATGTCGTTTCTCCTGACCACTCGCCACCCAAAAAAAAAACCGCTCCCCAAGCGGCCAGACGTCCAAGACCAGCACATGAAGCCACCCCATTCCGGTCCATTCTGGATCAGGGCGGAACCAGGTCCATTCCATTCCGAGTTTTCAGGTCACCAAGTTGCCGAAAGAAAGCACCACGGTCTTCGAATTTGACCTGGCCAAGCTAAATCCAGCGCAGGAGAAACAGCGTTTCAGTCGCTTGCTTGTACTATTTTTACTAATCCCACTGCCGTATACATCGAAAAAAGTTGGCACCCAACCTGTGTCAACGCAATTTTTCAAGCAAAGGGCATAGAATATTGATAGAATAGAATGGGGAGTTTGTATGAGTTTACCTATCATTATATACACACACACATATATATACATATATATATATACATATATATGTATATATATATATATATCATTGTATACCAGTGACTGATTCCGTTTGTATATAATGAATTTTTCGGATGGTGAGGCTGCAGGGGATTTTTGACGGTTGGATGCAGGGCAGTTCCAGCAACAGAGATTTTTCCATAAAGGGGATGGTCATCCCCATGTCATCCCCCAACAGGATTTTCATAGGAATTTATATGCCATGAGCCATATATATCCATATATCTGAGTCCATGAGCCATATATCATCTAATTTGAGCGTGCCATAGTCGAATCATAAAGTGTTGTTTCTCTGAAGCCGCATGGGATGAAGAAAAATTACTCCATGGTTATTTCACATACGGAACATCGTCATTTTTAGATATTTTTAATCGGTAATTCATCATGTTTATATTCATATTTCGGGAGAACGTGTTTGGTCGCCCCAGTGCTTTTGCTGATTAGAATGCGCGAAACGTGTGTATACAGTTGAACACGAACGTTATTAGGGGGCTTGTGAAACGTGCACAATTTCTGTGACACGTGCACAACTTCTGTGAATCATGCACAACTGCTGGGAAACGTGCACAACATCTCTGAAACGTGCACATATAGGATACTTGAAAACACTGGGTAGGGGCGGTGAAACACGTTATACCCTTATATTGATATATGATATGATATATGATATATATATATATGATATATATATATAACATATATATATATAAATATTATATATATGTTTATCATCTATAAGTGGGCAATGGATTATTCCATAGCCCAAGGGCAATCCGCATCGATTCGAGGAGAACTGCTGCACACAGGTGGTCTACCAGGCAACCGCTTGCCCCTAGGAGTTGATTGTCCAACCCCCTAGGGTAACTTGAAAGAACTTGCGTATTTAATGATATGTATATGGTAAGTATATTATTGACCATGGAAATATGGTATGTATGATTGAGTATTTCACTTACTGACTGGTGCTTTTTTTACGGGAATTTTCGGGAATGATCCCAGTCCTCACCAGTAATAATCATCCCAGCAACCCCCAGCAACCCATCCATTCCCTGCTAAGCACCAGTAAGTCATGGACAGATCGGAATTTCGAGGGTATTTTCACCCAAATTTTGCTGTTTTTTTTTGGCTCAAACTTGACTCAGGTTGGAAAGGAAGGGAACTGTTGGGTGTCAGGTGGGCAAAACCAACGAAGACTTCAAGCGGGATGCCTGCCTGTCTTTGTCCTGTGGTCATCTCAGGGGCATTCCACATGCGCCTGGCTTCACTCGAAGTCGGCTGCGTCCATTAATTATCATTAATTTCAAAAATCAGAAACAGTTGCAGATTCTATAATACAGATTTTACATGATTTTACTATTTTTTTAATTTCTTTGGACCATATGATCCATGGTGACGGGGGTCAATTGAATGCCATTTCAATTGGCAAAAAACACGCCTTTTTGTGGCGATCAAGGTCACATCGCGCATGTGTCGGCCTTCCAGAAGCTACGAACGGAATTGCAGTGGCTAAGCGGAGAAGATCATTTTCAGCGACCGTTTAAACGGTATGGTCGACCCTCTTGGGAGCCCAGATATCATCAAAATCTTCTGAAAATGGGGGTTTGGGGAAAAAATCGCAGCTGTTGTTATCCGGGAAAGATGAGCGCCGCTTGACGCAAGGAACTGGTTGATTTGATGGTTGCGACCCAGTGTGCACATTCACTGAAGTTACGGGCGAGTGAGCTGGTATTGTTCGTTATTCTTTGAGTGTATGGTTTGAAACTGCTGTCAAAGGCTTACCCTGATTCACAACCATTCCTTTTTCTCGCTGGCCCTATCTTTCACCACCACTTGATAATTAACGACCATTGTGTTGCAGCCGTCAGCCAAAATTTAGTTGAATATATTTCAGTTCAGGACAGCACCGTTCCCAACACTTCCGAACATCATCGGAACGTCACCCATGGTTTATTGGGAAAGTCCCAAGCAACTTGGGGGCGCAGTTCCAGTTGCAAGCGGACATGTAACCATAGTTATAGGGGGTTCACATCTCAACTTCCTGACATTATACCCAAATCCCATGGGTATACCATGTGATACCACGTTATAGCCATAAAGTGCCATAGAAATTACCCAGTCCTACTAGTCCTACACTCCAAAAAAGTCTTGTTTAGCCTCCACAAGGCTGGGCTATATCGTCCAAGCTTTCCCTGCCGTTACGGAAGACGTTTGCGGCTTCTCCGTCCTGGTCCAAGGTAATAGGCAAGACCCTGGATACCCAATTGGTACAACTGGCTGATGGATGTTTATTCCCCAAATGGGAGAATAATAGGTTTTGACCCATCCCCATATTAATGTGGTAACCCAATAGCACATCATTCCCAGAATCACACTTCTTGCAAAGGCGTGTGTACATATATATATATAGATGCACATATGTATACATACATACAAATATGCACATACACATTAAAGGTTCTCGTAGGGGTTGCGCGCTAGATGGCCATCTTTTCAAATTTATCCATCACCCAATTCATTTGTCTCCCAGCCTCCCAATTCATTTATTGTCTCGGTCTGAATCATGGTGCCCGGCGCTCTGGATGTCTCCCAATTCATTGGTCTCCCGCTCTGGCTTATGGCGTCTGGCTTTTCGCATGTCTCCCAGATTCATTTGTCTCCCAGGTTTCCGGCTCTCCGCAATTCATTTGTCTCCCAGTCTGGCTGGGGTTGTCCGGCTCTCCGGTCATTGAACTCCCTGTCTGAATGGTGTTGTCCGGCTCTTTGGATGTCTTTTCTTTGCTTTCACTTGTCTCTCATCAGGTGTCTCTCGCAATGTGCTCATGTGCTCCCAATTAATTTGTCTCCAATCATCGTTCTGCCTTTGTGGTGTCCGGCTTTATCGCCTGTTTGCTTTTGCGTGTCTTCCATCATTTGTGTGTTTGTCTCTGTTCTGTACTTTACTCCCTTTGTCTCTTCTTGTTGTCTCAAGATAAAATCATGTTCCATTGTTCCACCATGTTTTTTTGGTGTTTTACCATGTTCTACCACTTGTCGCCTACCTTGTATACCTTTTATTGTCTCAGATACAAATGGCGTGGCCAAAAATCGAAACCCTGTGGCATCAGAAAATGTTGCTTGTGGTTCATGCACACAGACGCTGCGATGGATAGGGAATAGCATGGAATAACTGTTTAGGGCCTATGGGGGGTGTAATTATGGTGCTTCATCGTACGTTACGTTCTACTGTATTTGCCGGTGGGTGAAGTTCAGGAGTGGAGGGATCTGCACCTCTGAGCTGGCTTGTGAGAAAGCGCTTACTGACGGCTCAAGATAGCCCCGTACATAAACATGGAGTTCGAAGATGAACGAATTTAGATCAATACCCAAACCCGCATTTTTCCTCGATGTGTCCGACCTCTGGTTTATGTTTATATGTTTGGTGTTAACGATGGCCCCAGAGTTTTTTCCCAGGGTGCCAAGTCGGTTTCCGCCAGGGAGCACCCAAAAGATGTGGATCAGCTCATTGAAGATTGGCTGGCAGATTTCGGCCAGGACCATTCCTGGGATCTCCCATCAGCAACTCCATGGCAATGTCTCGAATACTGACACGCAAGCTCCAGCCATAAAACTGGGATAAGCTGAGTCAGAGCATTTGACAATTTTTTTTTGGGATATTGGTTGGATATTGGCGCCTCTAAGCGATCTTAGAGATCTCTTTTAGCGGCTTCTCTTATCGTGCCAGCTATCGTGCCTGCTTTCCAGGAATTAGAGGCAATGAGCGATGAGAATTTTCGAAAGAACGTCCAGGCCATGGTGAATGAGAGGACTCAGCGCTATTCTCGCCAGGGTCCTGGCAGAATCTGGCGGAATCTGGCGGAAAAATAGGCGGAAAAATAGGCGGTCATAGGCGGTCAGGAAGTTCAAGGATTCAGGGCTTGGGTTTCAGGGCTTCAAACCATTTCAAAACTCCTCTTGGTTTGATGGATTAATGTCAACGCCAGATTCACAAACCAATGTTGCCATGGTTGATTGGTACGCCCCAAATCCTGATATTTTGCTAGTAAAAATGATACCTCCCCCATTTGGGAACTGTAAATGAGTCGGTTGAGGGGTTCAAAAATTGAGTGCCTGTGTTTTGAAGGATGGTAAAATAGCAAAATGTTTCAAACCACCAGTTCCAACGCATTCTCCAATACATTTGGGCAGTACAATGCCCTGGATGAACAAACCTCCGAGGTTTGGTTCAAGAGACCACCCGTCACTGGGCGGAGATTCTTCCCCGAAGGTGCGGCTGGCGAATAGCAGCACTGGCTAAACGGCGAAACCTGAGAGAAGCAGGAAAACAAGGTCTGAAAGCCTATCAAAAGCCATGAAAAACATCATGAACGTCCTAAAATCTGAAGAGTTTTGAAAGCAAGGCAGTGAAAAAATATGAAAAAATCAACAACCAGTGGCTGATTCAGGTACAAGTTCTCCAGAGTCGTTGAAGCGACTGAAGCTTTGGAAAACATCCAGAAAGAAGAGGCCCTCTCAGCTCAGTTCCGGGTTCCGCACACCTGGCGTATTGATTTTATGTTGATCTTATACACATCTTATACACATCTTACGGTATATATGATGAGCCATGGGACTGAGGAAGTCCAGTTGGTCCGGTGATTTATTTCACTTGGGTGCAAACCAGAGCTGTGGATCTTGTAACATTTGTATCTGGGATGGCCAGTCAAGGACCCAAGTATGATGCTTTGCAGTATTCATCCCGGCCCTCCAGGTGTTAGAATTCTTCAAGGAATACCTTGCCAAGGGAGCTGCTAGTCGCAGGCGCCCTTTGCTCATGCCATGCTGGGCAATGTCATGGTCATGAGTCATGGATCCTTTGGCAATTGGACATCGATGATGTCGATGTCAATGGGCAAGCCATTCATCATCACACTCTAAAAACGGTGCATTTTCCGGCCATGTTTGACTCCCAGAGCATAGTGTGCAAGTGTTGATAGTGTTGTGGTTCAGATGTGGCATGACTGCACCATTTTAAGCACCTCCATTTTGTTGTTTGTTGGATGCTGGTATATGCTGGTCTTCTTTTTTAACACTGTTTCTTGGGAAGCTCCAGAAGATTTCACATCATTCTACGTGCCAGCTCTATCATGCAGAGGGGTGGTGAGCACTGAGATTGGCAGGAAACTGAGCGTTCGCGTCCTCGGAACTTCTGCGGGCGATGTGAAGAGTGAGGTGGAAGAGCAACTTGGCTCCGGTGAAGGTACCTGGGGTCAGTGGGTTTTTATAGCTCTGGCGGCGGTCAACGTTTTTGGACATTTCGGGATTCGCCAAAACTAAGCTTATTACGCTTCGCAAGCTGCGTTGCGCGATCCAGAAACTATGTGCTTAGAAACTTCTGCGGCCAGGAAACGGCCATTTGCTGAATTCCAAATCTATACCTGTCTCCGAATCCTACTGGAAGAATTGCATGGTACTGATCCTTGAAGTGTGCGCCTTTCATATTTATTCATTTTTGATTATACATTTCTATAGATTAAGTCCTGGTGAATTTAATTATTTGGCATCATTTTTTTTAAAAGATCTATAAGATTATTATTATGCACCGCAGAAACCCAGGATATCCCAGGATACTTTCTCAGCACTTGAGGCCAGATGTGTTACTCACATCTCTGGAGGACTTGCGGCGCTTCCATGGCGTCACAGAGTGTGGGCCATGGATAGATTTCATCACGAAATGACTAGAAGGATGGGAATTGGATTGGGGGAGATTGGGGAAGCTATCCCGAAATAGACGCACTTTTCAGGTGAGTGATTTGTAATTGATCCAGCCATATTGTTGGTTACATTAGTGTTATATTCCCATTGATTTTGCCATATTTTGCCCAAAAAAAGGTATAGAGAGATCCATGGAAAAACTACCAACTGCACGTGGGGTCCAACCTGGATTGGTTTGTTCCGTCCGGCAAGGTCCTTTCCTCCAGCAGCCTTCTCTGAGATGCCAACGTCGGATGAGTGAGTCGAGCTGTGGGAAAAGGTGCTGTGATGTGCTGTGGGCCCTGATGGGCCCTGTGAGCTGCCGATTTTGAGTTGCCACGAGGCCCTCGCGCCTGCGGCTTTCAGGTGGGCAGCAAGCGACAAGCGACAAGCCGCGCTCAAATTGATGTGGGAAGCGATAATGAGCACATCCTGAGCACTAACTCGTTTTCGCAGTTTCGCAGAGCATCAAAACTTGGGGCTAATGAATGTTTATGATTATAATCGATTATTTATGCACCTTTCTTATCGTTTCTTCACCATTACTGACCACATCCAACGCAGAGCCCACCATTTAGGATTGGTCATGGGATTTGGTGCAGACATATTGGCTCAGCCCGAACAGTCCCCCTCCGTTCCCCTGGGGTTGCGAGTGTTGCAGGCTGCCTGTGGCTTCAATGGGATACCAGTGACGAGTGAAAACATGTGAAAACCCATGGGAAAAAGTGGAAAAATAATGAAACATCTATAGGAACAAGTTGCCGAATATACCCTCAATCCGGGGCCAAATCTTGCCAATCTGCCAAAATTCGCCAGTTCGTCAGTTCAATGGGGCTGCAGGATGTTCTTATCATGTTTCATGGGGCCCGGCAGGCCAAAGGATGTCGAGGCAGCCAGCCAAGCGGCCTGAGTTGGAAATTGACATTGACGAGGCCGCGGGGAACGAGATAACTCCAGTTGATACAGAGATGATAAAGGGAAGTCCCTAAACGCCTGTTTTTTTTCAAAGCACCACCCTTGAGTCTTGAGGGGTGTTTCCCAACAAAAGCAGGGTCATGGCACCGAGAAAAACGTTAGACTTTAGATGTCGATACTGGAAGGTTTAAAAGCCTGCTCATATGCTCATGAGATACCAAAGTAGGATCAATTCAAGGCATACTACGGCATTCATATGCAACGTATTTCTAGTTGATATGTTTTAAACGTAAAAGCAAGGACATACGATGGTGATGTTGAAATATAAATAGCAACAACATGCAACAACAATACTAGCAGAAATTAGTACAACAAGTATACCAATGATCAAATCGCAACGAATCCCCAGCGATCTAGGCTGAGCAACTGCTTGCGCTGGATCAAGTAGCCCTCGAGAAGGCTGCTCCGCTCTGGCTCCGCTTTTTTCCTCTGACAACGAGAGACATTAAGTCATTAAGTAGTGCCCTCCCACGAAGCAAAACAGTTTGATCCTGAAAATAGCCAACATTTAGATAAATTTAGTGGAAACCAATCTTCCAAGCCCTATGCGACAGGGTCGTCATGTTAATCATGTTAGCTGTGGAACGGTATGAACCCCGCTTTGAAAATGATCTATAAATGGTAGATGTTCCATGATTTCCATATGGAGAAATTTGCTGGAGCATAGCCCAGTTTCTCCGTTTTTATCGGACATGTTTCCCCAAAGTCGAACATCTTTGAGACACACCCCAACCGGAAGCCTGATACTGCATTGGAATGTATATTGGATCTATTCATGAATTCGGGTTTCATCTATAGGGGGAAGTTCATTCTGGATGGGATCAAGCGGGACGACAAGCGGATTAACATGGCAGATCGCAGCGCTGAACTTGATGGCGATAGAGCTATGAACCTATGGGATGGAATGGGTAATGGGGTTCCATTTTTTTTCGACAGCCGGTTTTTTTTCTTTGCCCAGTGTGGCCAAAGCCAAACAAATGTCACTTGTCACTTGACATGGAACTGTGGTTCGTTATCTCTCACATTGGCTCAACAACATTTGCGCAAATGAGAGATGGCGAGGTATTGAATTTCGGAATATTTAGGCGTCCGTTTCAAGTCAGCATGACATCGCAACTGCAGCTTTAACGAGTCGGCAAGTTCTTTTTTTTTGCATTCAATTCAACAGAAACGGCTGACAATTTCGATTGCTGTATGCTCCAAAAAGTGGAGCCCGAAGACGAAGTAACTGACCGCACGCGGAAAGTTGGCTACCTATGGCATTTAGTAGCACTGATATATGTATATACATACATACATCCATGCATGCATGCATGCATGCATGCATACAGCATGCATACATGCATACATACATGTACATACAATACATGCATGCATGCATACATGCATACATACATATATACATGTACATACATACATGTACATACATACATACATGCATGCATACATACATACATACATACTTACATACATACATACTTACATACATACATACTTACATACATACATACATACTTACATACATACATACATACACATACATATACATACATATACATACATATACATACATATACATACATATACATACATATACATACATATACATACATATACATACATATACATACATATACATACATATACCTACATATACATACATATACATACATATACATACATATACATACATATACATACATATACATACATATACATACATATACATACATATACATATATATACATATATATATACATATATACATATATATATACATACATGCATATACATACATACATATACATATACATATACATACATACATACATACATACATACACATACATATACATACATATACATACATATACATACATATACATACATATACATACATATACATACATATACATATACATACATATACATACATATACATACATATACATACATATACATACATATACATACCTATACATACATATACATACATATACATACATATACATACATATACATACATATACATACATATACATACATATACATACATATACATACATATACATACATATACATACATATACATACATATACATACATATACATACATATACATACATCTACATACATATACATACATATACATACATATACATACATATACATACATATACATGCATATACATACATATACATACATATACATACATATACATACATATACATGCATATACATACATATACATACATATACATACATATACATACATATACATACATATACATACATATACATACAAATACATACAAATACATACATACACATACATACATATACATACATATACATACATATACATACATATACATACATATACATACATATACATACATATACATACATATACATACATATACATACATATACATACATATACATACATATACATACATATACATACATATACATTCATATACATACATATACATACATATACATACATATACATACATATACAAGGGGGCAAGCGTGGGAATATTGAATTATAGAAAAAGATGTGGAGTGGCATACATATTCCATTAACCTCCCAAAAAAAGGGGGTGTGTGCAATTGTGGATCCATGACAGGAATGCCAACTATGGGGGAGCCCCCAGCCCAACATTACTGTATGGGAAAAATAATCTATGGCAAAATAAAAGAATTATGAAAAAAATAATTAATGGAAAAACCGGGCTGAGATACAGCGCCCTAGCCCCCTGAGGGTACAGGAAAATCAATTATGGAAAGAAGGGCCACCGCCAAGAAAGGGTAGGCGAATGAAAAGAAAAAGCGAGTGAATGGGGCGAGCACCTTGCCGAAGATATTTGAACCCGTAGGTGGAAAACCTAATCTTTGTGGAAAAAAGTCGGGACGCGAGCGCCGCCGGACGCGAAGGGGGAAGGCGGGGGGAGGCGTCACAGAAGGGCGGCTGGGCGAGACCGACATACAGGAGCAGACAGAGACAGATAGGAGACGAGACGATATGACAGAAAGAAGACAGAGACAGAATAAGTGGAGATAGAGACAGGACATAGACACGAGACAGACAGAACACAGGCAAAGACAGAAGACAGACAGACAGACGAGACAGAGACTCGACAGAGACAAGACCGAGTTTGGATACTACGAGACCAGACATTAGACAGACAGGAGCAGGAACAGTGAGAGCAGACAGAGCGCAGACGAGGACCAGACAGTAGACAGACATGAGACAGAAGATGAAGACAGGACAGACATATACAGGACAGGAGACAGACGTTGAACATACATATACATACAGTATACATACATATACATACATATACATACATATACATACATATACATACATATACATACATATACATACATGCATACATGCATACATGCGTACATGCATACATGCATACATACATACATACAAACATACAAACAAACAAACAAACAAATACACACACACATATATGTATATACATACATATGCATAATTCATTTTTAATATATACATATAGATATTGATAGAGATATTCAGGTTATACTTATATGGCGGTTTGGGTTGGTGGTTTGGAAGTCTGGGAAATCAGAGTTATGTGCAAAATAGATTTGAAAAATGTGTTTTTTTTGTGTGTTTTGTGTTTGTTTTATTTTTTGTTTAACTAATCTAATCTAATCTAATCTAATCTAATCCTAATCTAATCCTAATCTAATCTAATCCTAATCTAATCCTAATCTAATCTAATCTAATCCTAATCCTAATCCCTAATCCTAATCCCTAATCCTAATCCCTAATCCTAATCCCTAATCCTAATCCCTAATCCTAATCCCTAATCCCTAATCCCTAATCCTAATCCCTAATCCTAATCCTAATCCCTAATCCCTAATCCTAATCCCTAATCCCTAATCCTAACCCCTAATCCTAATCCCTAATCCTAATCCCTAATCCTAATCCTAATCCCTAATCCCTAATCCTAATCCCTAATCCTAATCCTAATCCCTAATCCTAATCCCTAATCCCTAATCCCTAATCCTAACCCCTAATCCTAATCCCTAATCCTAATCCCTAATCCCTAATCCCTAATCCTAATCCCTAATCCCTAATCCTAATCCCTAATCCCTAATCCTAATCCTAATCCCTAATCCTAATCCCTAATCCTAATCCCTAATCCTAATCCCTAATCCTAATCCCTAATCCTAATCCCTAATCCTAATCCCTAATCCTAATCCCTAATCCTAATCCCTAATCCTAATCCCTAATTCTAATCCCTAATTCTAATCCCTAATTCTAATCCCCAATTCTAATCCCTAATTCCAATCCTTAATCCTAATCCCTAATTCTAATCCCTAATCCTGATCCCTAATCCTAATCCCTAATCCTAATCCCTAATTCTAATCCCTAATTCTAAATCCTAATTCTAAATCCTAATTCTAAATCCTAATTCTAAATCCCTAATTCTAAATCCTAATTCTAAATCCTAGTTCTAAATTCAGTTCTAAATCCTAGTTCTAAATCCTAGTTCTAAATCCTAGTTCTAAATCCTAGTTCTAAATCCTAGTTCTAAATCCTAATTCTAAATCCTAATTCTAAATCCTAATTCTAAATCCTAATTCTAAATCCTAATTCTAAATCCTAATTCTACATCCTAATTCTAAATCCTAATTCTAAATCCTAATTCTAAATCCTAATTCTAAATCCTAATTCCAAACCCTAATTCTAAACCCTAATTCTAAATCCTAATTCTAAAGCCTAAATCCTAATTCTAAGTCCGAATTCTAAATCCGAATTCTAAATCCGAATTCTAAATCCGAATTCTAAATCCGAATTCTAAATCCGAATTCTAAATCCGAATTCTAAATCCGAATTCTAAATCCTAATTCTAAATCCTAATTCTAAATCCTAACTCTCAATCCTAATTCTAAATCCGAATTCTAAATCCGAATTCTAAATCCGAATTCTAAATCCGAATTCTAAATCCTAATTCTAAATCCTAATTCTAAAGCCTAATTCTAAATCCTAATTCTAAATCCTAAATCCTAATTCTAAATCCTAATTCTAAATCCTAATTCTAAATCCTAATTCTAAATCCTAATTCTAAATCCTAATTCTAAATCCTGATTCTAAATCCTAATTCTAAATCCTAATTCTAAATCCTAATTCTAAATCCTAATTCTAAATCCTAATTCTAAATCCTAAATCTAAATCCTAAATCTAAATCCTAATTCTAAATCCTAATTCTAAATCCTAATTCTAAATCCTAATTCTAAATCCTAATTCTAAATCCTAATTCTAAATCCTAAATCTAAATCCTAAATCTAAATCCTAATTCTAAATCCTAATTCTAAATCCTAAATCTAAATCCTAAATCTGAATCCTAAATCTAAATCTTAATCTAAATCTAATCTAATCTAATCTATCTTTCTAAGTATCTGTCTATCTGTTTGTTTGTCTGTCTGTCTATCTATTTACTTATCTAATATATCATATCCAATCTATCTATTTGTTTGTCTGTCTATATATCTATCTATCTATCTATCAATCTATCAATCTATCAATCTATCAACCAATCTCATATATCTACATAATCTATCTATTTATTTGTTTGTCTATTTGTCTATCAAACTAGTCTAATCTTCTCTGATCTTATCTAATCTAAGCTAATCTAATCCAACCTCTCTAATCTTTCAAGCCTGTCTATTAATCTATCTAATCTATCTAATCCACCTAGTCTACCTTTTCTATCTGATCTATGTAATATGCCTACTCTATCCAAGTGACCTTACCTATCTATTCTATCTACATGAAAGCAAAGCAGAGAAAAAAAAAGTTTCTCTTGAAACAAATTCCATTGCGGTCCTATCCTGTACAGTACTCTGACTGATGCAGGTTTCATGGAGTTTCCATGGAGTTTCCATGCAGTTTCCATGCAGGTTTCATGTTGGTTACATGCTGGGTTTGCTGATTTAGCTTACTGGTGTGTAACCTCCATGACAACTCCCTCGAACCTGCATGGAATCTGCATGGAACCTCCATGGAACCTGCATCAGGCAGAGTGCATGGTAAAACCAACAAGTGTAGATAGAGGCATCACCTCCATAACGCACATGGAAGCTGCATGAAATCTACATCAATTCTCCATGGAACCTGCATGGAACCTCCATGAAAACTGCATCAGTTAGAAGGCGCCATGCAACCATCACGTTTAGACACAAGAAACAACGGAACCTACATGAAACCTCCATGAAACCTACATCAATTCTCCATGGAACCTGCATGGATACTCCATCAAAGAAGCGCCATACAAGCACCAGGTGTAGATACAGGGAAGAGAGACTTTTTTTTAGTGGACACTACGTGGAAACCATCAGACGCTTTGACGCAAATTGATCGCAAATCGATCGTAAATCGATCGTAAACTGATCGTAAAAAACCGCACAAAAACTGTCATAGCATCTGTGCATTTTGATGTCGTTTTCACTAGGTCATCTGTCTTTGTTGATGTCCCTTTTTGTTTCTGCACTGGAAAAGTCAATTTCTTCCAGAGTTTCTATTTATCCTGAGTGTTCACTGCTTGGTGGTTTTGATTTTGGCAAGGTTTCAAATGTGAATTTTTGTTTGATGTCATTTTGATGGAGTTTTATGTCTGTCTCGGTGTCAACATATAATATTGCAAACTAAGTTAATTAAAAGACGAAACCACCAAGAGAAATGAACTCACTTATGTCATCTTGGATTCTATGATCACCAAACCATATGAATATATGAATTGGCAAGTGCCGTTTTCTACAGGCCTTAGGTTCTTGTCGATGTCATATTGATGTTGTTTTATGGCCTTCTTATTCGTTTTTAGGCCGATGTCAAATCGATCGACAAAGGATCGCAAAATGATCGCAAAACAACGTCGGAATCCTACATCAAAATGACACATTACAAAGTCCACACTTGAAACCCTGGCTTTGCCAACATCAAAACCGCCAAGCAACGAACACTCAGGATAAATAGAAATTCTGGAAGAATTTGACTTTTCCAGTACAGAAACCAAAAGAAACATCAGCAAAGACAGATGGCCTAGTGAAAACGACATCAAAACGCACAGATGCTATGACAGTTTTTGTGCGATCAATTTAGTTACGATCGATTTGCGATCGATTTGCATCAAAGCGTCTGATGGTTTCCATGTAGTTTCCATTAAAAAAAACTCGAACATGTTCCCTGTATCTACACCTGATGATTGTACGGCGTCTTCCTTGATGGAGTATCCACGCAGGTTCCATGGAGAATTGATGTAGGTTTCATGGAGGTTTCATGTAGGTAACCGTTGTTTCTTGTGTCTAAACGTGATGGTTGCATGGCGCCTTCTAACTGATGCAGTTTTCATGGGGGTTCCATGCGGGTTCCATGGAGAATTGATGTAGAAATTCATGCAGTTTCCATGTGCGTTATGGAGGTGGTGCCTCTATCTACACTTGTTGGTTTTATCATGCACTCTGACTGATGCAGGTTCCATGGAGGTTCCATGCAGATTCCATGCAGGTTCCAGGGAGGTGTCATGGAGGTTACCCACCAGTAAGCTAAATTTGCAAACCCAGCATGTAACCAACATGAAACCTGCATGGAAGCTCCATGGAAAATCCATGAAACCTGCATCAGTCAGAGTACAGGATAGGACCACACGGCTTCAAGAAACTGTCTTTCCCCCATTTCAAAAATAAATAGACAAGTACAGAAAAATGCACTAGAATTCAATAATCAATTAAACAATCACGTGAAATTATTGGACATTAAATAAGTGTACATTTTCCGAGATACAAGATGAATATCAATTCAAAAACAAACCTAATCTGGTAGCAATCATTGTTGTTTTAAATTTGTTTTCTTTATTTTCAACGATTTCATTGTTTGCAGGGTTTGATCTTTTTTGTTTTTTCTAAGTTTACAAAACCATCAATTCCCAGACTTCCAAACCACCAACCCAAACCACCACGTAAGCACAAGTTGAGATATAGATATATGATATATGATATATGATATATGATATATGATATATGTATGCATATATGTAATACACATAGCAATCCCCAAACAGATAGAAACTTCAAATCCTGCTGGAATTGTAACGAATTACATTTCATGTATTGAGGGTTGCAAGAAAAATAAGTCATATTTGGATAGTGTGAGCAGTTCAAGAATTCATGCTTATTTGCTGTGTGAAACAGGTGAAAATGAAAGACGCCGATTCGCAGGTCTCTTGGCAAGGTCTTCAGATGCAAATCCGTGGTTTTTGATGAATGACATGATGGATCTGGGAAGTTCAAATGGTGTTTTTCCCCACCTGCCAGGTGAGGGTTGTTAGATTTTATCAGAGCTGTTCTCCTCCTCCTCCTCCTCCTCCTCCTCCGCCTCCGCCTCCTCCGCCTCCACCTCCGCCTCCTCCGCCTCCTCACCCGCCGCCTCCTCCTCGCAGTCCAGATCCCAGTGGGCACAGCCGGACCTCCACCGCGAGCTCCAGATCCCAGTGGGCACTGCCGGACCTCAACCGCGAGTTGCAGATCGCAGTGGGCACTGCCGGACCTCAACCGCGAGTTGCAGATCGCAGTGGGCACTGCCGGACCTCAACCGCGACTTCCAGGTCGCAGTGGGCACTGCCGGACCTCAACCCGACTTCCAGATTGCAGGGGGCACTGCCGGACCTCAACCGCAGTGGGCACTGCCGGACCTCAACGGGAAGAATATCAGAAAAGATTTCAGATAGAATGTCAGAAGATATGCCAGATAGAATGCCAGAAAGAATGTCAGAAAGAATGTCAGAAGATATGCCAGACAGAATGTCAGAAGATATGCCAGAAAGAATGTCAGAAGATATGTCAGATATAATGTCAGAAGATATGCCAGATAGAATGCCAGAAAAAATGTCAGAAGATATGCCAGATAGAATGTCAGATAGAATGCCAGAAGATATGCCAGATAGAATGCCAGAAGATTTGCCAGATAGAATGCCAGAAGATATGCCAGAACATATGCCAGATAGAATGCCAGAAGATATGTCAGATAGAATGCCAGAAGATTTGCCAGTAAGAAAATGTATAAATGTCATGGTGGGGATCACACGAAGTAAAGTAATTTCTCTTCTCGTCAACCATGGCTTGCCGGAAAAGCCACCATTGAGTTTCATGATTTTCCCAGCTACAAATCTCCATTGAGTTCGGGGATTGTTCCATATTTCTGCATGCCTTTAGTTTGGGGATTTCCCAGTTCCATCCACCCAGGAGCCGGGATCCCCCACACTGCTGGAGTGGTTTCAAATGACCAGGACCGTGAAATCATGTCCAGCAAGTGACTCGGCCATTGCTGCAGAGGATGTAAGAGGATGTAAGAGGATGTAAGAGGATGTAAGGGGCACCAAAATGTGTTGATTCTGGTTGTGCCTGTTCCTGGCAGCTTCAGTCTTTAGATGACCAGCTGGTCGTGGGGCAGTCTGGTCGCTCTGAGGTGAATGTGGCCAGTCTCGAGACTTTTCGGATGTGGACAACAGTGTCACGGAAACCAGGGCACCCTCCTCCACTGAGCTTTTAGGGTGAGCTGAGCTCTGGGATGTGGGTGGGCTGGATGAGATGATAGGAAGTTGTAGGAAGCTGTAAAATATAGGGAACAGGGAGGTGATGAATCATGATGATAGAAGATGATAGCCAAAGTAGCCTTTTCATGGATCGGGGCTGTGGCTAGTGATTTTCAGTACTAGCCGTTAGCCGATTGTGGGCCCCCTTCCAAACAAGCATTCGCACAGAGCTCAGCTTTAGGAGTGGAAATCCCATTGTCGACAATAGGATCTTGGCAGAGGTACATCGTGCTATGGATGGATTAGAAGATATTGGAAGATATTAGACGATGCTGTAACTTATGATTATATCTCCCAAGCATGGGTAAAAAGACGGGTTCGCGGTAGAATCCGGGTCATCACTCAGTAGCTGGTGCCACCCGCGTGGCCAGGTGTACGCCAGATCATTCTCCGATGGCTCAGAAGACCAAGTTATCAAGCCAGGCGGCACCATTTCAGCCAACGACAGCTCGCTGGGTGGCGGTTCCAGTGCGCTGCGTCAGGCCTGCACAGACACAGTGGTTTGTGCCAAACGCAGGATCAACCGGCCACGCCTGGGGGGATTGCGCACCATGTGCCTTCTTCCATACCACCGGCTGTGTGAAAGGCCAGAGCTGTTCCTACTGTCACCTCTGCGGGCCATGAAAGGAACATTTTGGAGCTTTGTAATGGCCCAACCCCTCTCGTGCGCAAAAGTCAGCAGACACGTCGGTTCCTGCACAGAATTGTTATAACTAGAATGGCCAGTCGTTGAGTGGATATTCTGACTGGGGCTCTGATACAACATGTTCCAACAACCCACTATGATTTAAACGGGTGAAGGCGACACTAGAAAAGTACATAATAAATGCAACAATAGCACTTGTTCTCCAAACAGTGTGTCCACACTGAGGGGTTCTTACGGTAAGAGTTAAGGCCGGTGCTTGATCAGGGTGCTTCATCTGGGTTCCGGTAAATTCTCGCATAAAATGGCTCTTGTGACATTTCGACTGCGCAGGCTCGCACAAAGTCTGCGCCGCGGGTTCTCAAGCTCTTGATCTTGTACAGGTCCTTGTGAGAAGCTCTTGTCCTCTCGGTGTCCTTACTTGATGTGGTACAGGTCCTTGTGAGAAGATTTTGTGGAGATCCTGTTGAAATCCTCCTCAAGCGGTCCTTTCAGTAAGGTCTTGAAGATCCTCTGCATCTTCTGGGATGCTCATAGGAAGTTCTTGTCTAAACATCTTCCGGGCTCCTGCCTAAAGATCTACATAGAAGGTCCTGCTGCTGCAGTTGCGTTAATGTCTAACCGTCTAAGCTCGTCTGTTACTGTTCCATAGCTACTATTGCTAGTATCTGGTACGTTCACTTCCTACCCCCCACACTGTTTGGGGTCTCTTGCCGGCTTTTTTTAAAAGAATAACAACCTTTGCAGCAGTAATCGTTGTAAGGCTATGGGTAGAGTATGTATATTTTGATACGCGCTTTTCTTATACCTATGTGCTTTTCTTCCCTCCATAGTGCCCTGTATGTATGTATACATGCAGATATTTAACGTTATATCATATAGATAGTCCTTTGCACACATATATAATATTATATTATGCAGAATTATCTGCAGCTGAACTCTTCGAGAAGGCGATGAGGAGAGAGAGAGAGAGAGAGAGACAGATAGAGAGAGAGAGAGAGCTAGACATGTACACCCACACACACACTGTCACACACGCGGGCACACACACACATATATAATTATATATATACACGCCTTTATATGCACATATTCATTTTATAATAAACCCACATGTCCACATATAAATGCACAGAGAGACATGCACAATAAAAATGTACATATTTTCATCTAAACATAACTCATTTTTACACATACGCACGCGCATACACACTGTGGCACATGTACATACGCACATGTACATACATACATACATACATACATACATACATACATACATACATACATACATACATACATACATAAATATATATATGTATGTATATGTATTCATATTTCTTTCGTTCTTTCATACATACATACGTACATGCATGCATGCATGCATACATACGTACGTGCATACATGCATACTTATATACGTACATGCATGCATGCATGCATGCATGCATACATACATACATACATAGATACATACAAACATACATACATGCATGCACGCATGCATGCATACATACATAGATGCATACATAGATACATAGATACATAGATACACACATACATGCATGCATGCATACATACAAACAAACAAACATACATACATACGTGCATGATCATATGCATACTTTAATGCATAGATGCACAGACACATAGATACCTACATGTGCCCATACTATTAAATGGATTCTCAGTGGAAATTTGAGGTATGAGTGGGTCCCAGTCAAGCTGGAACGTGATTTTTTTCTTTAGCCCACTGCGACTGGAGCCTCGCTGGATTAGCTCGACCACCGCCTGGCGACACAAAAGTCGTGCGCCTGGCGCTCGATCGCACTGCGGGTCACCATATACCTGGTTGGTGGTTCCAAATCGGTTGGATTTCAAAATATTTCAAAATAGGTGATCATTCCCCGTGAATGCTTTAACCGCCGACCAGAAATCTTCCCTAGCGATTGGGAGATCAGCCGCGGGGACGGGGACGCTTCCGAAGACTTGATCTTCCCAATTGACCGGAGAGACCCATGTGCGATGAATTCGAATCCGGTGGCGTTTGGGCTAAAACGACCCAAGGCCTCCACATTGTTCGGGACTTGTTGATGGGTCAGTGGTGGTATTGGGCCCAGGTTGGTCAGAGGTTCATTCAGGGGTTGGGGCGCCAGGATGCCCCATCCCATGAGGAAACATGGAATCATGGTTTAACGGTTTAGCGTTATCATGCCTTATCCCAACCTGAGCTCGCCTGATGACATTTTCCAAGATGCTCCATGATTTCAGGTTTTTGCGGCCACCTCCCACCCCCACACTGAGTCCCGTCAAAGCATGTCCTGGCAAAACGTGTGGCGATTTAGCTTTGCCACTTCCTTGTCCAACAAAAGAAACAGTCCCGGAGGTACAGCAAGGTTTGATGATGGACACAAAAAATGATGCCATCCCTCGAAGCTGCAAAAGTGGCAGAATTTCATGGTTGGGATTTCTTTCAGGGCAGCGCCTCTGTCTTAGACTTCCATCTCCGTGGCTGTTGCTTGCATCCCAACTTGGTATTCGCTTAATACGTTCTAAAGGCGCAAAAAATCACCGCGAGTGGGTCAGTCTGGGCTGGACATTTCTGCTTTGAAGGTGCTTACATCAGATCATATCAGATCTATTGGGATGGTACAGTTATTATTTGTTTTTTTTATTCTATTCCGTTTGGGGTATTCTTTCTGATTTTTTGTCTGGTTGCTTTTGCCTTTATTTTTATTTTTTACTTCTTTGCTTTTCTGCTTCTTCGATTTCCGGCTTCTTCGCTTTTCCGCTTCTTTTTTCTTCCATCTTCTTTTTTGTTTTTCTGCTTCTCCGCTTATCTTCAACCACTTGTAAAACCCTAAGGCAACTCTTAAAACATCAGTGAACCAATCAGGCCTAAACCAACCCTAAATAAACTTTAAACGGCACCAATAACTCCCAAACAATTTCTAGACACACCCTAAACCAACCCTAAATAGTTCCTAAGCCCAAGTGTGGGTAATTTTCCCAACCTTCAATAAAAAATGAACAACCCTTAACGATTTTAAAGCCAACCCCAAACAAACTTTAACCCAAGCCGAGTAAAACCTTAAACCGGCTTTAAGTACACCTTGAACCAGCAGTAAATAAACCCTAAATCATCCCCAAATATCCAGTGAATCAACTTTGGATATACCCCAAACCAAACCCAGGGTTCAAACCCTAAACCAACCCGAAATGAACCCTAAACCCTAAATAAGCACTAAACCAACCCTAAAGAAACAATACATCAACCGGAAGTTTACCCCGAACCCGTCCAAAACAAAACGGCTGAAAACATCAGCCATCCCTAAGTAAATTCAAAACCAACCCTGAAGCGACCCGAAAGAGGTTTCCATCAATGGGGGTACCCCAATAGCTGGTTGGTTTATATTGGAAAAGCCTGTCGAAATGGATGATTTAGGGACCCCTATTATAGGAACCGCCCATTTGATCTTTCATGGGCTGTTGGATGCTTCCGTTCACCGTGGTGAAACCGCTGACGGCCTTGACTCTGGTCAGGTTGATGAAGGTAGCCTCTCAGGCGGGTTTCGGTGGCGCGTTCGCGGGACCGTCATGTGGGTGTGTCTGAAAATGGGGTATACCGATATACAAAGAGCCATTTAGTAGGGAAAATGATGACTGATCAGTGGATTTAGGGGTATCCCATGGTATCCCATTTTCAGAGAAACAGTCATGTGTCTTCATTCAGCAATAGCAATCCCACCCCCAGAAAAATTGGCTCAAATCACAGGACCCGGTGATGTCTATGGAGAAGCTATGAAAAAAAATGATAAGAGAGGACCTGCCGAACCTTACTGGTGCTGAACGTAGGGAATGGATGGGTTGCTGGGGGAATGGGATGATTATTACTAGTGATTATGGATCATTCCCGAAAATTCCCTGCTAAGCACCAGTAAGGAACAGTTGCGACTTCCGTGTCTATTGAGACACGATTCACAGCTATGACTGAAGCCACGCAAGCGCCCCTCCGAGTGGCAGCTGTGGGTTGCGGAGTGGTATGGCGCCACCATTTGCAGGCCGTGTGGCGCTTAGACTGCCACATGTGGAGATTGCGGAGTGTTGTCTCAAAATTTCCAGAGTTCATGGTTTGGCACCAGGATATCCCAAACTGCAGTATATCATCCGCATCATAACTGCAGTTTGGGATATCCTGGCATTGCCCATTTTGGTATATAAAACCACCCGACTTAGTGCCCTAGAAGTTTAGCTTTGAAGCGCGCTTTCGCAAAAATACTTAGACACTTAGACCTTTCGGGTCAAAGTATTCATGAAAAAGTCTATCAAAAAATATCATGATGGATCAGTGCCTAAAATTATGTTCATATGTTTGGGGGATGATGATCCATTTGCCAGGGGTGCAGGGTTCTGGCAGTCCAATTCAACGCTCTCACTCTCACAGTCACCTTTGTGCCTCTTTGCCACTTGCTCCATGTGAGCCATGGTTTGCGATCAATCAGCGGTTGTATTGCCACGCAGTTCCTTGAACAAATCAAGCTAACAAACGCGTAACATACAGTAACATTAAAACAACTCGTCCAGGCGTTTGCAAAAAAGTTCAGCTGCCATTTTTTGGCGCTTCCGTACGCTTCCGTTGCTTAACTTTCTTGATTTCTCCTCTTTCGTAATTCATGATATGGCAATCTCGGACTTTAGTGCATTGCAAGCTTCATTGAATCTGCATCACCAAGTGTGTTCAAGTCATTTACTGTGTAATCAGTCACAAACTTTCATACATGTTCATGTTCTGGCGACATTGCGTCAGGGTTCTCCTAGCGACAAAGTCCATTCAGAGTCACCATGACCAGGACAGTCACATTGGGCCTAGATCTACCTACTGTTCGTAGGTGGAG